CAAACGAGCAGACGGATTACCTGATGGTAAGCAATCGGCGTCGCCCATGGACACCCGCAACAAAGAAGGAGTTACCAGTGCGTTGCCGACCTTACCTTTTAAGGATTAGGATTTTGGGGATTTTGGGACTGGGAAGGGATTGGGGTAGGGGAAGGATTGGGCCTCCGGTAACCTCACTCACACGGCGAAACACAACGTTGTGGTTGTTTCACGCCGGTTTTCTGTGAGGCCGTGGTATCACTCCGGCCGAGCCGACCCATTCGTGCCGAAGCATGGCTCTCCCACACTAAGATTCAGTATTCTCTTGAAACGGTTGGCGATTAAAACGGGTTGTTGGTCAATGATAAATCTAGACAAGGTATTTAGGCGACCTGAAAATAACATCCGACAGTTAACAACAGGCTAAGTAAACAGTTTTTAATTAAATCTACTGTTACCAAAGCCGTAAACAAACAATGGTGTTATGCATAAAACTAAAACGTTCTCCTTTCACCTGTCGATTGTAATTGTCAATAAAAATACCAAACTTGTATTGTGACAGAATGCTTTCAATTAATAAGTTATGGTATGGACTTATGCAGGATACAAATAAGATTGAAATAAGTACCAATTTTAAAGTTTATAAAGGTTTAAGAATAATCTTGTTTTACGTGAGTTAAGTATGTAAAACCTCATAGATGCATAGAACATAACTTGTAAGAATTGTAATATAGTGGATGTAATTGTTAAGCTTTCTGTTAGTTTTATGATCAGTCCTCACACAAAAACACAATTCCAGACTTCGTACAATCACTAAGAAGTTTTCTTGTCATGTGTGCATTAAGGTCTTGCTTGAAGAATAAAATACTTACCCGAAAGACCGTGACATCGGCAAGAGGAAACTATACCCTACATAGTTTCCCTCTTGCCAATGTCACCTCTTGCCAAAATGAGGGTTGCTGTTGTAAGCGCAATGACGTACCGCGGCTTGGTTCGAATCAGGAGAAGAAACAGGGTACAGAGAGTCTGAACCTCCATCTCGGGAGAACTCACCGAACGATTTCCAATTTTTCCTACACATCAACTATTGAAAGCAAATAAATAATATGCCTGATAAGTTTTATGAGGAGGGAGTTCATCAAATGATTTCTCCCGCTCTCGGTAGTTACCTCCTGGGGTCACTTATCAGACTTTACGACAGTCTATACACCCTCACAACTAGGCACTCACAATGAAATAGTCATTTACATTTACTACACTACATACTATTAGTTTACAACAATTACCAAGTATGACCGCATACTATTATGGATAGTAACAATTAATTTGTACGCAAATTAACTTCTATTATACATACGTGGTCACTTATGTATATTTATGTTACTTGTTGCGTGTAAATGGAAATCGAACTAAAAGGCGACGTCCATTAATTAATAATTCTATTCAAGTTGTGTTAATTGTCGTTTGATAGACATTATTGAAATAGGGATGATGATATTTTTTTAATGGTCGTCTTTATAATCAAGTCAAGATTCATGATAAACATCTTTTCTTATGAAATAAAATACTTTCAACGATACATTAATTTTAAATATCGCCGTGACGTCTAGATTCAGCCCTATTTACACATTACGGTACCTAGTTACTTCCATTAAATGTAAATTCTATTGTTCAACTGATGGACCAATTTCTTTTTAATTTTATACCCAATCATCATCCTTACACTAATTATCTTCGTATGTGTACAGTACTTAACTGTTTGTACTCGTTAACTCTATTGATTATATTACTACCATCATCATCACCGTCAGGCTATAAGAGCCCACTGCTGAGCAAAGACCTCTTGTCATAGGGTGAGGACGGTTTGAGCATAAGTGCATAAGTCACGCTAGCTTAAGGCGGAGTGATGATCCCAAACTTATGTGTATACTAATTAGAAATAACGTTATACGAAATATAAAAGTTCAGGTTTCCTCACGATGCTTTTCTTCACCGTTTATCAGTTTTTCAAATACCTATCTCATCCTTCTTCAATATGAATAATATTACAAAACAACACACACAATACACAGATTTATTTCGATTTACATCAGTAATAGCCAGTTTTATATTCATATAAAGCTAATCTGTAGGTAAGGCTTAAGCACACTCATTACGGAGAGCCCACGCACTGAAGAGCTCATGAATTTTCTCAGCAAAAAAATACCGGCGTTTTCTAGAACGTCAATTTTTACGGTCGGTTGTCCTGTCCAGGCGTGTTTGTGAGTACAGAGTACATATGATAAATGGGCCAGGTAATCGATGAGGTAAGATGCTTAAGCTAAATGTTAAGCTTTAAAAACATTATGCATAGTTCCATTTCTTTTTTTGTTTTTGTACATTATTTTATTTTTCTTTCGACATTGTCTCTCGTCGCTGTCTGTTGGAAGAGATAGCATAACGGCATAAGCTGTACTTTTATTTCTAACTAGCTAATCTCGCGCGGTCTCACCCGCTCGACTCCATTTAATCGTAGCGTAATGTTTTATAGCTCCCAGGAATATTGTAGCTATCTATCAGTGAAAGAATTATGGCAATCCGTTCCAAAGATTACCCCCTACATACAAACTTACAAATTTTACCTCTTTATAATATTAGTATAGATAATAGTGTTTACAAAAATAACAAATAAAAAAGCTGTATTGTTGTTCACTGTGTAAGTCTTTTTTACTGATCATATAATACTTTCAGATGATATTAATCCATTGAACCATATTAAATAAATAATGGTGTATGGGTATAACACTAATGTATGTAAATTATGAAACACCTTATTTACAGATAGTTTCGTAACTTAGCTTAGATAGCGTAGATTTATATACTGTTTCCATGTAACAGGATCAGTAGTTCGGCTACGAGCTAATCCCAGGGTTATCCATCTCAGAATCATCATTTCAGTAAGTAACACGTTCCCAAACTTTGCCAAGCCAATATGGACCTAAAAACTAGGCTAAACGTTTATTTATTTCACAAACGAAGTAATGAAGAAGAAAGGAGGTAAAAAAAAAGAAAAGTATGTAACTATTATCGATAAAAAGAAAATAAAGCAATTTCAATGTCATAAGAACGCATAGAAACAATACCTAAACATCAAAAATAAACAGTTGCTCTACTATTTGCTTGTGAACGTATTTGAGTTTTATAAGTATAGGCACCTACTAACGTAATTTTTTTTGTTACAAACTTTTTTATTGTTTCACAAAATACCAAGGGACGATTGTTTCTTTGTTTGCAATGTTATTACCGTTTAATGAAATCGAAATAAAATCAGTTCGTACTGCGAAGATTCCTTGAACTTTCGACAGTCACGGAATGGGATGCGTATCTCTTCAAATTAGTGTTTAATATACAGTAAATACGTTTCTGTAATGCTTTATTGCACTAGACGGTACTAACGTGGCTTTGCTGGCATACTGCCAAGTTTTGATAACTTATAGTCTTTTGAGCGTATCCTTATTACTATGCTAAGTAAGTTTGATTAATATGTGTGAGCTGAGCTTAGATCCTCTACATATAGCAAAACCTGCTATATTGTGTAAGGATATTTTCTCATTACTTATTTAAAAAAAAAACTTAGAAAATTGTATTGTAAGGATATTCATTAATGTTAATCACAATTTGGTAGTAAAATTCGAAACTTTTTCAAATTGTCAAAATTCGTCAGTTTTTTGTTTTAACCTGTAGGTCTATGTATTGTGTTGCGGTTGTGACGTCACATTTCGGATTCAAATAGCATACTTATTTAATCAATTAATAGCGGATTATCAGGAGCGTGGTTGTGATTATATTAAACTTTTGATTGTAATTAAAAAACATTATTACGTAGTCATTTACAATTTGAAAATCATTTCTATCATTTCATGCATATTATATATGGGTTTCTGTGTTAAATGTTATAATAAAATCCCAGTTGAAATTCAAAATTTAAATGAAAGCAAATTTAAATTATGTATAAAGAAACATTTATGTAAACTAGCATACTACAAACTAAATGATTATATACAAGATAAAAATGCTTGGAGGCTAGCGAGTCCTACTCCACAGGATGTTTAGAGAAATTTTTGATTTTAATTATTAAATTGTACACTATGTTGTTAATTGTTGATGATCTTTTAAGTGTTTGTAAATGTGAGTACCCTGTAACCTATTATAATTAAGTAAGACTTGTAGAATATAGGTACTTGTGTCGGCTGGGAGCTGTCATGCTCACTCAGAGGTCTCATTGGCGGTGGCACGGGCACTGGATCGCTCAATTCCCTATAACGTGGATGAGTTGGGCGGTGCTGGTGTACGTGTCATGTTCGTGAACGGGCGCCGCCTATTGGGGCTGGTCATCTCCAGGCTGTCTAAATATGTTGTCCTTGAGGTTCACTTCTTGTTCGTACTTTTTGCCTGAACATTAGTGTTACATTGTTCTCACATATCAGAACCGACTAAATGATGTAACAAAGAAATGTATTGTAAAACTGATTGAAAAAGAGTAACCATGGAGTTTCTTGCTCGTTCTTCTCCATAGGAATCTACACTTTGGAACGAGCAAATAGCTTCACTAGAGGACAGACGGACAGACTGACACGCTTAATTTTAAAGCTCATGTTATATACTTTTTCCTTTTTTGCTTGCTTGACGTTCAAAAGTGCCTACTGTGGTCTAATTGAAATAAATGATTTTTTACTTTTTTTGACTATATAAAATTTGTTTCACTTTTTTAAAACCAATAAAAATTATATATTGAATCACACGCAATGTTTATGTACTTGGGCATATTAGAATCGACCATAGAGAAACTAAATATGCATGCAAACTTAGTACCTATAAGTCGAAGACACCATTTTGAAAACGGTTTGGCTATGGATGGCAAACCATCGAAATGTCACAGTTCCCTGTCAAGTTTAGGTGTCATGTAATTTAAACAATCGTGTTATTGGTATAAAAGAAATTTTTCTTAGTTGTTTACAGTTGTTTTCGTAACATATATAACAATGTTAATACCGACTTGTCTTATAAAGCTTTGTGAGTTGGTAAGTTGTTTTGGAGGTGCATATTTTTATTAGCAAGTCATGATATTTTCCTTTCATTTTTGAGATTGAGAACAGATTTTATAGTGCATATGTATCTAATCACAGTAAATCGGCGATGTTGAGACGTTAGTGAGGTTACCGGATGCCCATTCCTCCCTATTCCCTGTCTCCAATCCCTTAATCCCTAATCCTCAAATCCTTTATCCCTCTGGTACACTCATAAAAGCGCTATACTACGCATACTATAGACCCTTATTACATTTATTACGCATAATAATGATAAAAAGTAAAATTTATAAGATGTATCAAATATCAGTGTTTTATTTTAAGCAGTAAGCAGTAGATAGACACTGGAATACGCCAATTGCAAAGAAATAAAAATATTAGATAACATTAATACTTCATTTTTATTTCACTTTTCTTGTTACCTCTTCGGGGATTTAAACGTGATGCTATAAGACATTATCAAATAACTTGTTTTATTTTTAACGAACAATGTGTTCGAAATGAAAACTTCGTGCAAGGGTTGCATAATAATTAGCAATAGAGTGCTAGTAGGTATTAGCATATTCAAGGTATCATCAAAGGAAAGCTTTGGCTAGTTGCCTCGGGGAGTTTATAAATGCAACGCCTAGGGAATCCGTATAACCACTTGCAATTTCATATTCGTCTGAGGTTGGATGAGTAATTTTGTATGTTTAGACCGGGTTTTCTTTCAAGGGATATGTATAGGTCTTTTCTAGTTCTTATCCATCTTTTTCTATTTTGACACTTTATCCACCAGGGTCATTGTCCAGCCAGGTTTTCTGGTGCAAACCCAATAATATACCACGATCTCGGTCTCGAGCAGGAGATGGAATGGGGTGATTTTAAGTCAGCAAGAGTCTCACTACCTTTCGCCCCACCTCATCCAGAGCAGACCTCGATAATTTTCCTCCTTAACATACCTACTACTAATTTCACTAGTGGAGGTTTTGTAGAATAAGATTGTAATTTTAAGAAGGTGTTTTGACTTCAACTACACATTGAAGTTGATCCTTACGCAAGTCCTATACAAGTGGAACTGTTGATGCATACCTACACAGAATCGCATTTTCTTTTCTTTGTGAGGAGCGAGCTGTTTGCGGTTTTGAGCATCAAATATCGTATGCAAGGAAATAAGTTTGCTAGCTAGATTCTTAATTCGTTTTTTAATCAGCTCCATTTTTCCAGATGCTAACAGTAGCATGCCTGACTCTCCACCACTATAGCTACGACCTAACGGACGTGCCGACACTGATGCTGTGTTCTGGTACTTACGTCGGCTACGTAGTCGTGCTCTCCGGGGAGATTGTCGGTGAGAATCTACTCGATCCATACATTGTTCATGTAATCGCGAAACACATAATTATCTTGCAAATTTTGTGCACATTTCTATTATATTATGTATGAACACAACTTCTTGCTCATTTTCCCCGAAGGAGTAGGTACACTGCATGCGACTTTTTGAGAATTTCGTAGTTTATTTTATTTCACTGTTGCCTTTATCATGATATAACTGTTGTTGTGCTAAGATTCATATCTCAAGAACACATTATGTAGACATAGGCTAACATAATGTATGCAGTATTTCAATGCATAATGCCGCATTTGTACTGGTTTCAATTACCCTTTTTCTAACTTTATTATTCCTCGTTGTGCGCGAGGAGCATAATAAATAAATTGCATTAAAACATTGCAATGTTTGTTGTTTGCTTTATAAAGATACGCTGACATTTCATTTGTGTATCCTACATTAGCGAAGTTCATAAAATGTTAACGAAAAACTTGAATGCAGTTCCGTCAGCGACTTCAAAAGCTTTGGCGGAAGTTCAAAGCTGCATTAATTATATTCACAAACAGTTTGCCGAAGCGATAGAAAGAAGTTTAGTTTGTTTACTCATCTGTCGCTTCGCTTCGTGCCTCAGCTAATGTATCCCAGTCTTAGCAACTTATACATTCTAGGAGAGATGTTGTTCGCGCCGCTGGATCTCGTCCAAGACATGTACTTTGGCATGCTCGGGGTCGCCTTGTTCTCAGTGAGCGGAGGCCTCGTCTTATCCGCCAGGTTAAAAAACTCTGTGTATCCGAGGACTGGAGACACCAATGCGGCAATACTGGCGGCTTCCCTGGCCCTTCTAAACGCAGTTTTCATGCTTTTCGATCTAAGCCTGGCATACTTGGACTCTGAGGAGTACGATGAAGAAGCGAGCGTATAACGAGGTGACTATCTTTCACTTCCTGAAGTATGTGCTTGCACACATCCAGTATAAATGCGGCTTATCACGTAGGAACCATGTTTGGGCGTAGGAGGTACATTAGCGAATTAGATGGACGTTATCTATATTAGTCGAGTATGTTTCTGACATTTCCATCACTGGCTTTTAACGAGATTATGAAGCTATTTTGTACACAACCAGTGTACTAATATACCCATAATTTATAATGTAAACTAAAAGTGATGCATTAGACTTATACGGGTTTTTTAAGTCATTATAAGTTGAGATTGTACGTTCCTTTTTGAACGCCATGAGAGACAACATGTGGGCCACGCTAGCGGAGGATTTGCCCTCAACAGTAATCTGTCGGCATTCAATGACTTATACCCGGTTTCCGAAAGGCAGATCAATGTTAAAATCAATTTAATCTCTTGTCAAGTCATCTGATTGGTTGACTGAATTAGCAACAACCAATCAGATGACTTGACAAGAGATTTAACAGGAGAATAGTTAATTTTAGCGTTGACAAGCCTTTCAGAAACCGGGTGTTAATTGTCTTTTAACCGAGTATGACCACCTACAGGTGAGGCGGTGTCAGCGGCGGCGGATGCTTACGTGGACGCGTGGTGGTCTTCGAGCGGCAGTGTGTTGTTCGCAGCATGCGGCGGCCTCATACTGCACTCCTGGAAGGACATCCCCAACCACAGCCGCAAGAACTACGCACAAGCCGCCGCTATCTGCTCGCTCGCAAACGCTGCATTGTTCCTAATCGATTCGCTGATCGCAATATGTTCGGCGCACAAAGAAGATGGCAGCACGCGGACCAAAGGTGCTAAAAGTGCTACTCCGTGTTAAATTGTTTATAAAGTTATGTTTAAGGATGTAGTTGAATCTTATTAAATGAATGGCACATTTAAAGATCTTGACAGTGTTTTACTTTTTATTCCAAGAGCCTTGATTTAGGTATCTATAGTTAGCCGATTGCGGGGTAAGCGCAATGAGGCACCGCGGCCTTGGCCTAGAGCAGGAGAAGGAACGGAGGGTTTTTACTAAGAGTCTGACACTTTAGTCTCTCCTCAACATGGGAGAGAAGTCATTTGATGATTTTCCCCTATCAAAAAAAGACTTAAATCAAATAGGTTCAATTAGAGTAACAAATAATCACAGTGCCATACCATGTGGCTTTCTATAAGAGCTACCTCTATTATGGAGAGCACGTGACCATGTTTTGTGCTGACGCATTTCGTATTGTAAACAAAAGGAGAGTCCTGCCTGATGGCTACCGTATACGATATTGTATCCATTACAGTTAGTGTCGACTGACACAATTAGTGATGTTTACAATGAATTTGGTAAAAGAAGTGTTGATTAAAACTGATGGTATTTTTGTGTTTGCCGTAGTTTTTCATAAAAACTTCTAACTTTTTGACTTGAGTAGTGGGTAAACTGAGCATTGTGTGATAAAGAAGAGCTTATGAAACGTTAACCTATGTTATTATTTTTATTAAAAGTTATGAATACTACCAAAATTACATATTACCAAAATTCACATTAATAAATTAATTTGGTTATTGTGGAAAGAGGAAGTACCCTACTCCTACTTACTTGAACCTTGTACGTATTTTAGAACAGAGACATCTAGTGGTTATATGCGGAACTATAACAACGAAGCACTAGCCAGTCATTGTGTTTGGAAACGGTTTACATGTTATCTACCAGATCGAGCTACTAGTCTATTAAATGAGATTGAATGAATTTTGTTTGAATACAAAAGTGGTATCTTGGAAATATCCCGCCATTTTTAACCGTATAGGTTATGAATTGTCGTTTGATTATGTTTCAATTGTAACTTTTTTAAATATGAATATGCCTATCTAAATCTCTATAAAATATCCCATATCCAATTTCTACTCCAAAATGGCTTTAAAATTAAATATAAAACTTCGTCCTATTACTAGCAACACCTGTTTGGGAAGTGTAGATCAGTTAGGAACCTCAAATAAAAATACAAATCATTAAATCATCTACCTCTCACACAATCAAAGAAACACAATTAACATGCGGATATCTCACTAGTTCGTAACAAATTACTTAAACAACACATATGAGGGTTCAAGATATTACTAAGGCTTTAATTAAATGTGTACTGAGCACGAAAATAGACATGTTCAGTGAGACTGATGTTAATTGTTGAGTAAACCGTTTCTTTTACAGTGGCCAGCAAGCCTAAAATGTGATTTTTTCATTCAACCTTCGACCTAATATCAAAGCTGTTAACTTGAATTTTGAATAAAGAAATTTGCTAGAAAGGTTTTGGTTGTCCTGCTCGACAAAGGTGTACTGTTAAGAACTGAATGTTATGTATGTGAGATGAACTAACACTTTTCCTATTCTCATTAGTAGAATTAGAATTATTTTAGATGTATCAATTGTTAAGCTTAAAGTTCAGGTTTGTAAGTGAAAAGGAAATATCGACTTTGTCGTCGGTGTGCGTTGTAAATATGGCTGTCGGGGCTTTTGGTTTCAATTTACAGATGGAGTTGTATTAAAGTTTTGCTGTTTTTTTTTTTAATTAACTCGTGCTTGAAATTTGGTCTCTGTATATGACTTAGTTATCGTAATATCCACCTAGAATCAATTTCTGGATTATTGTCCGACTGTAGCTATCTAAAGTTTATTGAAATTATTTTAGGCGTATTCCAACCGGCCAAGTATTACGTACCTATAAACAGGTACCTATTAGGTAAGTAGGTACCTAGAATAGTGGGAGGAAAATTGCTATGAATACCTTTATTGTCATGAATGTCCTTCACAAAGTTTTTTCATTTTAGAAGTAGGTATATTATAACACACAATACGGTAGTTTCCAACTAGTCAAATTCAATACTTTTATCCAAATGTCAAAAACGATACTTTTCTATGAAAATTGTATGAAACATTGAATTATGACGTCATAGCATTTTTGTGCAAATAGCTTACTTATTTTTAAAAAAATATCTAAAAAATATCTAATCTTAGTGTATCGATCGATCGATGAATAAAAGTATAGTTATTTTTCAATATTTTATCGTATTAAAACGTCGAATTAATTTATTTTTGACCTAGGAAACAACCCAATTGTGAGTCTATAGAATGGTGGAGCAAATAGACAGGCACGACCCGGGTGGTACCACAACCTCGCTAAAGAAAAACCGGCGTAAAAGAATGCTTGCAGTTGTTTTGTGCTTCGCTAAGTCTCTTCCCACACAGTCTTCTCCCGCCTTCACATCTCCAATTACCCAACCGCCAAATCCCTAACCCCAAAGATATTCACACCTAGATCGCCAAAGCACTTGTAACTCCTCGTTACTCAGGTGATCCATCTGCTCGCACCTATCCCATATAAAAGGAATCATAATACATTTTAACCATATTTTATTTAACATAGGTACCCAACACATTTTTTTTTTACAAAATATACCTATTTTATAATCACTAAAAAATCATCCAGTTATGATATTTTGTTTTTGGTGATGACTCGTCGATCGTCTAATAGCTATCTAGTATCTACATAAGAATTCGATGCTTACTTACACACTTACAAAATACCAAAGCAGGTGCTTCTACACCTGCCATTCTTGAATACAGGACGTACAAATTACAATCCGTGTCTTTATGTACAAATTCCAATATTGAAATTGACCCACTGACTCGCTGCACCGAGTACTACAAAACAATTGAAATCGAGATAAAACTATGTATGAGTAATTATTCACTGTGTAGGTATTTAATGAGTAGTATTCAATGCAAACAAAACTAATGAGTGCTACTCATATTTACTGAAATGTTATTAATCATAACAATTTAGGTATTTGTCAACGCCGTCAACTCATAGGCTATGAATGCAAAATTAATTTGCTCTGTCATTGATGTGTGATCGACGAACCTAAGTGCAATCTCTGGCCACCACGTGTTTTCATTGATTTCAAGGCCGGCTAAATTGTAAGAGTTTTTTTTGTAATTTTTCCTTATCTCACGGCTTAAAAAGATTTTTTTTTAAGTTTCATTCTGACCTGCTATCATTTCTTTACAATTGCTTCAACTGCTTCAATCTTGAGAGATCAAATGTGATGGCGGATTATCCCATAAGCCACTTCTGGTACTTTAAATATGCACATATTTTCAGTCGGGATTGTGGGACAAGTGCATAAAGCCCCGCGGCCTCGCCCTAGGACATGAGAAGGAACGGCGAGATTTTTAGTCAATAAGAGTCTCACACTTCCTCCCGCCTCACCCAGGACAGGAGAAGGCATTTGATGATTTGCCCCTTACAAAAAATTTGCTCAAAATTATTGTAATAAAATTATAGTGCAGCAGCTGTGCTTCTTGCTCTTAATTAGATGTGCTATTGTTATTGTATGCCTTAATGAATTCCAATCACTTAAATACCATTATACATATTTCTATGAGTAGCATTTTTATTACTAATAGGTACTTAATTGTAATTGCTAACGAAAAAATGTCGATTTATCCTAAAATATAAAGAAAAGGGTGATTTTTTCCACTTTTGCTGCAATATGCAAGCTGCTATCATTCCCATAGTAGTATGTTATTATTTTTGAAACTATGAGAATGTTGCTAGCTAATATGACATTGAAAATAAATGTATATCGATCGATAAATGGATTCTACAATTTTGTAAATTTATTGGGAAAGTTTACTTTCGTTAATCACCTTATGTTTTTTTAATGGTTCGGTGATCGAGTACTAAGCTAGTTAGTTATGTTGGTTAGTTTTACGGGTTTCATAATAAAACCGGAACATAGTTTCATACAGAAGTTTTTTTTAGAGCTTAATGATTTCGTAGAACAATATGATGTCATGTATGTATGTGATGTCGTAGGCAACTATTTTGGATTCTGTGACCGTGAAAATACTACGTTTTGATCCCAGTACTAAATGTACTCATAGTAGGTACTCTATTTATAAATATTACGTGTTTGGTAGCAGTTAACTGTTAACAATGCGAATGACTGCCTCTAGTAGTCATCAGTAAACAAGCGAGATTGTCTTGAATGAACACAAATAGGTCCTTAAAAAAATGGTGACCTGTAGTTCATTACTATGGTTTGCTGCTTTAAACGTACCTATCATCTTTTATCCAAAGCACAACAATCTGAAAATTTTGTATTTCGAATGAGCATAGAGAGAGAGAGAGATCTAGTTTCTTTGATGTTTGTAGCGTAGCGATTGCAAATGCATTTTCACAATTTGGATTCCAAGAAATCCGACCCCAATTAAAGAGAAAATAGTAGGAACAGAAAGGTCTAGTTGAAAGAGTTCTTTCTCAATAAGTAACAGAAAAGAACTTTTTGTAGTTGAGAAACAACAAGTTGAAATAACAATAATTAAAATACTTGCGTTCAAACATTCACAATTAACACGAGCACTGATAACACTATCGTAAATTATTCCCGCCATTTCTAAAAGTGTGTTTTCAACGACTATTTTTGTACACAACTTGGTATCCCTCATTTTGACGGAAACGCACACAATATCGATTCAGGAGTAGATGACATCATCTTTTCGGGATAAGGAGTAAAACTACGGTTGTAATGTGGCCATGAGCTTAATTTTATACAATTATACAATGTACTCGTTTTATAAAAAAAATGTAGTGTTATTTGAGAACTTGAAGTCACGAAGTTTAATATGTTTAGTATTTATAATTATATGTATAGCTGTATACTCATTTAGAATAAAGTGGCTGTTTATCGACACCGTACAATCTGGTCACAGGCATTTTATGAGACGCATTGATTTCTATTTAGGGCTTAAATTATTAGAACAAACTAAAAGTATTCACTTAACTTTACTTGTTTGGTTAAGTTCACGAGAAACTTTGCATATGAACCGTATTTTAGCAGAAACGGAAATGGCGTACCCCAAGGTTCAATCCTTGGCCATGTTCGTACGTGGTTAGGCCATGTGGTAAGTAAGATTTTTATTGGTTCGTTTATTACTGTCCTATGTTGATAAACTCGATGGCCATACGAGTATGAGCTCATCGTTTCTACTCGACGCGGCTAACAGCGCAGTCTCAGTGGCGACTTGACTTGGCGCGCTCGTGTCGGTGTGTTACTTCATATAAACAACGCGGTACTAAAAAAATCCAAGTGATTCACCATGGCCATCAGCAGATTGTCTCTTATCAAGTTTTTGGAGCTGGTAATTATAACTTTTTTTCATTACTTTCAATAAAGTAAATTAATTTTTAGTAACATCTGCGCATTGTTGGGTCGCCGGTGCGCGGGCTCGAATACGATCTTGTTTTTGTTTATAAAGCGAATTCGTAAGCGTCCGTTGTTGCCTTGACGAAGGTGGTTCGACATTTAAAAGTTTATTTGTATCAAATTCGCGATGGAAAGGTCACAGAGTATTCTTTAATTTAAAAACCGCAACAATTAGAGAACCGTACAAGAAAAATAAAAAGCTGTTTGTAAATATTTTATTACAAATGCAAGCATGTTTTATTCACCCGATTTCCCCAAAATTCTCAGAAACTCCAGCTTGTAATACAAAAATAGTTTTCAAAGGAAATAAAATGTTTTACGTTGTAAATAAACTCGAAACACAAACAGTAGCACGAGAGTATCAAGACACAAAGGGCGTTGACTCCTTCCGTTCTTTCTCCATAGGTTAGAAAGGGACGCAAAAGGGGTTATGGGATTTACTACACTATTACAAAAATGGAACGAGTTTAATTGGGGATATTAAAATTATAATGCTTGGCGTTCATTGGTGGATGTAAGGATTCTATACTCAAGTTTCGTAATGTTATTTTTGTAACTAGTTTCCATAAGCTTGCATGCATTTATGTAGGAACTGCTTATCTAACTGACATTTGATTCATCTCAATTTAGCATTATTAGCAGTGATAGTAAAATGATCATAATATTTAAATTTGAAAATTACCTAAATGAATTAAACATATGCAAGCAGATAATGTAGTTGAAACAAAATACCTACGCTTAAATATTTGTGTGCAATCTGGTATTGTTTGAAAATCGACTCACCTGATATTATTATATGATTAATTGTCCCTAAAAATATGTTATGCTATTTTACACACTTCCTCTGGGATTAAAATACACACGGGATTAAAATAAATACATAAGGTACATGAGTTTTTTTACTGTAGGTATGCAATTTTGCGTTAAAACTTTTGTCAGTCTTCTTTTAAACCGTGAAACATTTTGCACTGTATATTCATTGTACTGGTTGACGACTGGCTGTTATACAGAACCTGGCAGGTACCAATGTATTTTTTCCGAGTTATATGTACATACTTCTTATGATTATTTAGTTTAGACACCACTGACATACGCTGAAGGAAAACATCGCGGGGAAACCTGGATTTATAAATAATAAATAATTATAAGTTTCAAATCGCCAATCTGCCTTGAGCAAGCGTGGTGATTGATAGTCAAACCTTCTCCGTAGCCTAGAACAGGGCGCATTTATGCACTTATGGTTGATGGTGTGAGACATGTTGGTGTACCATCTTCTTAAATGACTCTTACTCATGAAATGTCGTAATATGAACAATTTGAGTCAACAGCTTTAAATTTACTTATCAGAAGTGTTACATCATTGTCCACAAACTATTTTTAGCTGCCTGACCTAAGCGTACATCAACTCTTTTGTTGACCACTTTTACAATTGAGTGTGACTAAATTGATTCACCACTAATCGTCTTTGGAACGCTGTCCTTTATGAGAACTTCACAATAGTTCTTCATATTATAGCCGGATAATTTTGAAGGATAGAGTATTTTTTAATTTAGGTATTCGTAATTGTCACTCATAATGTTGATATTTGAAATTGTCATGAATAGTTTGCCTAATCTCAGTAAAATCAAACTAATCTGACACCGCTGACACAGCCTTCTCAGTTATAACGTCAGTTTCAGTCATCAACTAAGTAGTACTTATATATTTCTAGTTTAGTAAACATATGTATGAATGACTGCTACTAGCATCGATTAATGCGATCCTTCAATATCGCAACTATGTCGGCTAACTCAATGATATAAACAAAATGTTAAAAATAACTGTGAACTCATATTAAAATTATCTTGACTTGAGTAACGTATATACGAACACGTCGTAATTGATGAATAGAATATTATGAATACTATTAATTAAACCAATCTACATAATTTTGAATATAGAAAATAGTACCTACGTTATTGATAGAGACACTTGTGAGAATGGAAAATCATCAAATGATTTTGGATGAAACGGTAGAGAGTTGGAAAATCCTACTGACTAAACACCTAGTCCCCGAACAATTTGTAGATTGCAAAAAGACTTGTTTCGTACGAGAACCCGTGGCACGTTGCTCAGCAGCCATGTAGTACTATCCGTGCAGTCAAAAAGTCAGTCAGTAAATTGGATTGAATTCCAATAAAAACAACAGCTGTAGAGTCTGTACATTAGCCTAATGCACGAATAAACTTCAATCCATATGTATTCATATCGTAAACCATATATGAAATTAATTACAAATTTAATTAATCAAAAACTAGGTGCCCTTGCAATACTATTAGTGTTACCGTTTTATAGAATGCAATATAAAGATTTTCTTAAAATTGTCGATAAAAAGTGTGTTTACTTTATTGTACATAAAAACATCGCACGCACAGACAAACTAAAAACGGGTCATGGTTCCCTTCTAGTTGATCAACTGCTATGGCGCGACCCTAATAAGAACACAGACCTTAATGACATTTCAGTGCCTCTCTTTATTAATAGAAATATGAAAAAAAAATACATCACAAAACACAAAAAAATAAGTTTATATTGTACTTTAAGTAAGAGAAAATTTCTTATATTTTTTAACTTCGTCTTGAAATTAATTTCATAGTGTTTTTAGTTTCGTACCCAAAATAGTGAAAACTGGAACCCTATTACTAAGGCTCTGTTATCTGTCTGTGAACGTACTGTATCTCATTATACAGAATATACAGAATAGTTAAACATCGTAGATCAATAATTAATACTTAGATAAATGATATACACACATTTTCTGATCCGGCAATAACAACAAATAATAAAAACAAATGAATAAATATTTGGGGGGCTCCGAACAGCTTACAACAAAAGTGGTATTGGTATGGTCGCGCAATAACATGAAATAGTATGTTTCCTCTCTCTATTTATATTTGTTCTTTTTTTAAAATTCCTATTACGTATGTAAAGTGCCTATGTATAAACATATGTGTTCATTTAGGATAATATTCTTCCTACGTTTTGGTGGGTCATAATTTACGTGTTTTTTTATATTCCTAATATGTACATACATATAGTGACATAAGCTTCTACTTATTACAAAAGCGTAAACTAACCTTGTCCTTCACACACGATACGCACAGGAAACATTATTTCATCTTCTGTGGCAGTCCATTAAAACTGTACGCTACTAAAATAGTGCCGTGCCTCTCATTGTTAGAATTATTACACAGATTTGTTATGAGTAGTAAATAATAGTAAATGTGAATGCACAAAAACTTGATAAATATAAAACAAAACCAAAAGGTTTTGCCATCAAAGAGGGCGCTAGTGTCGTTAATAGTCTCTTGTCTTACATTTACGGTAAGTGCATTGTCCATGACCAAACGATTCCCACGAGTTTTACTTAGGTAATATCATCGACCTACGCAATATCATCCGGTGCGTGGTCGCTATTCAAGAAAATTCGACCATCCGGTAAGTGAGCACTGAGCAATGACCCGCCCACAGCCATTAAAATTAACGAATTCTTGAGCCTATCATGATTTTAAAACGTACTTCTATGAGATTCAATCACGATCATAATTTATTATTAATATACACACGATAGTCTCTAGAAGAACGGCAAAAAGTGTGAGAGTATGGTCATATATATCATATACGTCCTTAGGCGGCATTTACGAAGACATGGCTCGTCGCACGGCGTGGTGCGTCGTTTGTACGTCGTACATTGCACTCGTTGCAACATCGGGTTGCGTGTTCGTGCAAACACAAACAAGCAATGTACGACGGATGACCGACGCCTCTCCATAAATGGGGTCTTAAAGGCACGAATATGATGAATAGAAAGTGAATTTATTGACACACGGCGGTTAAAAGCAAAGGCGTGTCAATATCCCGACCATTTATGACAGTAACTAGTCATAAAGGGAAACCTCGATCACGTTTTGCCAGTGAAATCCCATCAACTGTTGACTGACTGCGTACAGCTACAAGCAACAAGTGGGGAATTAACATTCTGTGTTTATACGAACGTCTCGTAAAATATATGAAAAGTATTTGCTCTCGACCACCTGTGGTTTGGCAGTTCAAACTGTTTGCTTTCGACTCTGCTATATTAACTAGTATATTTTAAACTTGAATACTGCAAATTCTTCATCAGATAAACTTAAATTTTACAAAACAATCAAAAACATATCTTATCTTCATTGTATTTCAGATGAATATACGGTTTCATGAGAAAGCTTAGGTATTAAATGATTTATAGGTAGTATTACTATTTTCCCGTTAATACGGTCTATGTTCGGTTATTCGTAGGAATAGGTTGGAGTAATTTTGTTTATCTGCATTAATCGTAGAGGTCACGGATGTATCATGTTAGTTGATGACGTACGATCGCATGATGCACTGCCGTTGTGACTTAGAGATAATCCTGATTAGTCACAAAGTGGGACGCTTAAATTGACGGCAATTTCTTGGATACAGTCATATAACCCAATCTAGTTGTTAAGTAAATATAACATAAGATTTAATTTAGATTAAAGTTGGCAACGTTTTTTTTTAATATCTTATATTATGATCACATAAATCTAAACGCAAAAGTTTGTAAGTATGGATAGACGAATGTTTGTTACTCTTCCACATAAAACCACAAAACAGATGAGAATGAAATTTGGCACAGAGATAGATTATAGTTGGGTAATAACATAAGCTTCTTCCCCTAGTGGGTATTGCAGACGCAGTCGCTATCTGAAGGCGCTGAAGTTAGCCAGTGCATAATCAGAAAACGATTTTTTTTATGTGATAAGACACCAACGAGCCTACGTATTTCCTGATGGTGAGCAATCAGCGCATGGACAGCCGCAACGATAGGGAAGTTACGAGTGCGTTTGCGATCTTTTGGGATATGGATTTTTGAGATTTAGGGATTGGGGG